TAAGTCTAATTGCTTCATGATTTGACCATGTGGTGCTACAGTAAACATTTACTAATGACAGATTAATTAGCCTTAATAAATTCATGTCGTAGTTTACTGATAGATTTTGCAATTAGTTTTTCTATTAGTGTCCGAACACCCCATGCGACACCTTATATAATACCCGATGTGGCATGCCAAAACTTTACACTCTTGGATCTAAACGCCCCCTTAGTTCGCGAAAAGAAAATTTTTAGGTATCATATCGGTCGTTTGACCGGATGTCGGAAGGAGTTTTCGGATGTCGGAAGGGGTTTTTGACACGAATGAAAAAACTAATTTCATAACTTGCCTGGAAAACCGCGAGACTCGTTTATTAAGCTTAATTAATTCGTCATTAGCACATGCGGGTTACTATACCACTTATGACTAATCATGGACTAATACTGAGCAATTAGTTTTTTTAATCTATATTTAATGCTTATGCAGGTGTCTAAAGATTCGATGTAATGTTTTTGGGAAAATAATTTTGGAAACTAAACAACGCCTACTCATCCACCATTGTCTACTCCTACATTCTTCAATTCCTTTTTTTCCCCTACTACTCTTACGTTAAGGATTCTCCTCAATGTAGTATCTTACACCTTTTCATAAATTTTCCTTTGTTTTAAGAAAATCAAACTCTCTAAAGGCTCCTTAAAAACAAAGAAAAAGTCCAGGAACTTTGAAGTATTTAATTAAATTCTAACGATGAAATTTCTATGCAGCCATTTAGAACAAAGGATTGCACCCTCTATAATTCTTTTGAAAATCCTACATAATGCAACATTTAGTAGAGACTTTGAAGAAAAACTAACATGAGGTCTCACCATATTGGTTTCTTTTCTTGTATCTTTAATTCATTTGCTTTTCTTATGTACCATCCAAACAACTGTTTTGTAAGAATTCTTTTTTTTTATTTCCCATGGGAATTCACAAGGTGACACATTCTAATTCTATGTTTTTTTTCTCTATTCTTGTGTTTAAATCCCCCTAAATTTTCATCAATAGTTAGTTAATTTATAGTTGAGTTACAAATATATAGCACAGTACTATAATATATTACTGTATTTATTTTGGGACGGTCATATTTTCTTAATAATATATTAATTCTAAGTAACGCATATATAATAGCGCGTGAGAGTATATTTATGGATGAAGGAGCTAGAGGTACAGTTACGTAGCGCGTGCTCTGCCCTGGCAGGTCGATACGCGCGTGCCTACTACTGACTGACTAGTCACTCACATCAACCATCGTCCCAGTAGTCTTTACTAGTCCTACTTGTTTTTAGGCATTTACTAGTGTGTTTGGTGTAAAGGTTTTAAGTACATGGACACACATTTAAAGTATTCCGTCTGTAAACTGCGAGACAAATTTATTAAGCATAATTAATCTATCATTAGTAAATGTTTACTGTAGCGTCACATTGTCAAATCATTACGTAATTAGGCTCAAAAGATTTGTCTCACAATTTATAAACTGTGCAATTGGTTTTTTCCCATATTTAATGCTTATGCATGTGTCCAAACATTTGATGTGATGTTTATGACCAAAATTTTTTAGATCTAAATAAGGCCTATGGCTATATTTAGATTCAGGGCTATATTTAGGCTATGTTTATTTCTAAGTCAAAATTGGAAGTTTGAAGAAATTAGAACGATGTGACGGAAAAGTTGGAAGTTTGTGTAGGTAGGAAAGTTCGATATGACGAAAAAGTTGATACTTTGAAGAAAAAAGTTAGAATCTAAACAGCGCCTTAGGGTGGTTCGGAACCCCTGGTCCCCAACACTAAGTGCCCGTATGGAAAACGGAGAAGCGATTAGCGGGTGATTAATTAAATATTTGCTAAAAAATTTCAAAATGGATTAATTTGATTTTTTTAAAGTAACTTTCGTATAGAAATTTTTTTATAAAAAACATATAGTTTAGTAGTTTGAAAAGCGTGCGCTGGAAAACGAGGGAGATGGATTGGGAAGAGGGGCTGCCGAATACAGCTAGCCTAAGGGAGTGTTTGGGAGAGAGGGAAATGCCACCTCTCCCTATTGTCAGCTCTCCTCAATTTTCCGACTCAACCTAAAAATTCTAAAAAAACACTAACCATCGATTTTCACTTAACTGACACAACCATTATTTTAGTACATTGGGTAACACTAGCACAATACTCCTTCCATCCTCCCAGAATGTAAGGTGCTTGTATTTAAAAAATAGTCCACATTTGAATGTTTTAACTAATAACCACACTAACAATATATAATTCTTAAGTATGTCATATTATATTTGTATTTGAAAGTAATTTTATAACGTGTTAAATTCCTATTTGATGGTATAATGGAAACACCTTATATTTTGAAATGGATGATTTATATATAAGGAATAATTAAGAACAATGCCTGCACAAGTGCACGGGCTATAGCATCTTGTTTAATTTACTTTCAACAATTTCGAATTTGTGAAGAAATTGAAAGTTGGGCGTGATAATATACCATGTACGCAATTATAGTACACCAGCGGTATATAGCGCAACTACACGTTTTTGCAGGCGGTCAAAACACATTTTCACAGGCAGACAAACCTTCCGCCTGCATCTAAACGACGGTAAAAATCCCCAATTTTTACGAGCGGACCAAAGCATCGCCTGAGAAAATCATTTTCGCACGCAGCCGTTGGATCTTCTCAGGCGCTGCAGGCGCTACAATAGCCCCGCTTGCGAAAATACTCATGATGCCAAAAAAAAAATTTCCACCAGTCCCACCTCCTCCCTAGATTATAAATCACAAATCACAAATTCTCACAAATCTCATCCAGGAAACAAAATCCAATCACAAACATTCATTCATCAACACAAAACATTGGATTCAAATCCACAACAATCAACACGTAAACTTAGAAAAAAAAAGAAACAACATCATCGTCATCACCGGCGAACTCCTTTACATGCAATGGCCACCGCCGCCGCCGCCGCCGCCGCCCCTCTCAGGCCGGATCTGGGAGGAAGGGAGGTGTCCGCCGCCGCCACCACCCTCCCCTCTCCTCGTAGGGGCCGGATCTGGGAGAGGTAGGGAAGAGGAGGAGAGCTGCGTCCGCACTGCCGCCGTCGCCCCGTCCGCGCCGCCACCATAGCTCCCCCTCCTCCGGCCAGATCTAGCAGTAGGGAGGGAGAGAGGGGGAGCCGCCGCCGCCGTCGTCGCCCTGTCCACGTCGCTGCCGCGTCCACCACGTCTGTGCCGCTGCCGTCGCCGTCACTCCCCCTCCTCCAGTCGGGAGGGAGAGAGAGGGGGAGCCGCCGCGCCGCCGTCGCTCCCCTCCTCCGGTCGAATTGGGAGGGAGGGGATGGGAGGGGAGGAGGTGAGCCGGTGGGGAGGGTGGAGAGGAGAAGAGAAGTGTTGAGGGAGAGAGAGAGAGTTAGGAAAATGAGTGGTGTGGCCGGTGGGAAGGACAAGATAAGGATGACTTAAGATTTTTTTGGTAGGTACGATTTTTGCAGGCTGACCGTATAAGGTTTCGTCTGCAAAAATCATATTTTTCCAGGCGGAGCACTTAAGAGGTCTGTCAGCGAAAATAAAGGTATTTTCGTAGGCGGACCTCTTCAGTGGTCTGCCTGGGAAAATTGATTTTCACAGGCCAATGACGAAAATCCACCTCGGTTTACATTTTCGTAGGTGGATATTTGGCTCCGAGGGTCATACCCGCCTGCGAAAAAAAAGACCCAACGTCGACAAAAATGCTTTTTCTAATAGCGTGTGTTGCACTCTGCATAACATAATGTCTATTAGTGCGTCTCCGATCGATCGAGCAGATCACTCCATGATCTCCCCTTCTTAATTGGTTCCCACTTCTGATCGAGTCCTTCACGAGTAAAAATATTACGATCAATGTCTCCTTAATAAAAAATATACTCCTGGTTAATTATCAACGTTCTCCCTTGATGCTTTTTCCATAACAAAATATTAGTGTTAGGAAAATATTTACTTTCTCTCTTGCCCTGAGCTCCGTAAAAATGGTTATATATCAATGGCTCCTAATTTACAAAATAACGCAACAGTTTTCTTTACACCAAATAAAATGTGATTACGTTTATACTCAGAAGGATATGTGTTTAGTTCTTTCGGTGTAAAAACTTTGAAGTATACGGACACACATTTGAAGTATTAAACGTAGACTAATAACAAAACAAATTACAGATTCCGCATGTAAACTGCGAGACGAATTTATTAAGTCTAATTAATCTATCATTAGCAAATATTTACTATAGCATCACATTGTCAAATCATGGGACACAATTAGGCTCAAAATATTTGTCTCACAATTTACATGTGAACCGTGTAATTGGTTTTTTTCCCATATTTAATGCTCAATACATGTGTCCAAATATTTAATGTGATGTTTTTGGCCAAAATTTTTTGGATCTAAACAAAGCCTTATTGAAGGGAAATACTACCTCCGTCCCAAAATAAGTGCAGCCATGGAAATTTGTGTCCAACGTTTGACTGTCCGTCTTATTTGAAAAATTTATGAAAATTTATTAGAAAAATAGTCACACATAAAGTACTATTCATGCTTTATTATCTAATAATAATAAAAATAGTAATCATAAAAAAATTTCAAATAATATGAACGGTCAAACGTTGGAGATGAATAGTGTAAAACTGCACTTATTTTAGTACGGAGTAATATTTATTACTGCAACATGCAGCAGTAGCATTAAAGTATTGCTGTCCCCAGAAACCAGCTGAAGTCCTACTGTGGTAGTCGTAGGACCGCAATCGATGTTGCCCTATCCTCACACTACGTACCATTCACTCCCGACGTACTATGCTCCTGCCGTCCTGCGTAGTTTACCCAACCCTTCTTCCCACGCTCACTGACATGTGGGACCTCTAGACGATATGCACTTCACTGTACCAGCACGGACCAGTTATCACGCTGGAATATATATTCCTACTACTGTAGTTGCAGTGTGAGAGGCTCATCTCATTCATCACACTGGCTGCCTTTCTTCTTGGTAAATAAGCGCCCTCTTCTCTTCCTCTAGCTCTCTTCTTTGTTCTTGTGTTCTTCACTTCTTTGAGCTAGCGAGAGAGCCAAAACCCCAAGGTTATTTCTGACGTATTGTATCATTGTATGTTTTGCGCCTAGCACACCGTGCATACATTGGTTATTGTTTTTCTTACATGTTCATCATGTGTGGTTAATTTTGTTCTTTTTGCCAGAAATCCATATCATAATCTTTATCCTCTATGTGCTTTTGATCTCCTTTTGTTTGTGCAGCTACATAGTACGTTTATGTACTGTAGATGTGTATAGCTAAAAATGAACAACTAATCCTAGCTAGTTTGTTAGTTTCTTTCCTCGCCAACAATATTATTTCTTTTTGCTACTTAATTAAGAATCTCAGGCTTACATATTCTTAATTTCCACTTAAAAAACGGGGGTAACTATACACACATGCACACACATATTAATTTTTCATGGATCCTTATAGTCTCTTTATATTAAGCGGTGAAGGTTTTTTTGTTGATTTTGAATTTTTGGATCATAGAGTTAGCAATTACTCGTTCTCTTATGCATGAAGAGTGTATATACATTTTATAATTAATATTATTGTAGCTAGCTAGCTCTTTGATTTACTATACGTTTTTTTTCCCCAAACACAAGTTCAACTAGTACTAATTGTATGACCATCATTTATATCGTACGTGTCTGAAGTTTGCTTGCATATATATCTACTGAATCCATTATTTTGCATGCCTCAACTCAAGTTCTCAGTACGTTTAATTCTTGCATTGTGTGCTCGGGCCGCCTGAAATGTATCCATAATATTGTAGTAGTATGTTGAGTGAAAAGTTCGTAGCTAGCTTCTTAAAAATTTTTTGAAGTTGATTAAATTTTGTTTCGATAGATGTGTGGTTTGATCTCATGCATAATCGCCTCACTAATTGATAGATATTTATTTATGTGGTTTAAGTGCAGTAACTGCTAGCTGGGCAACGGATTGGTGATTGATTTTTTTCTCTTCTCTAGTTGCAGCTTCAATTAGCAAGGTACGTACTATATACTATACTTATCACGTTTATTTTTTTAGAATAATGCATGCATATATATGCCTAAGTAAATACTATCATGTACTAGCATATATATACTTATGAACCCCTCACAATTCTTGTCGCAAATTGTTCAAATGAAACGCATCCACAAGCAAATAATTAAATAAAGTTGTAAACAGGCACTCTCTACTGGTTGTTTACGCATGTATTGCATATATCTCTGAGCCAGGTTGGAGTACAGCCTACAGGAGTACTCCCAAAGTCTCAAAAAGACCTAATTCTTGGGTTTTCGTGTCCAACGTTTGACCGTCCGTTTTATATGAAAATTTTTTGTGATTAGTATTTTCATTATTGTTAGATGATAAAACATGATTAATACTTTATGCATGACTTATCTTTTTAAAATTTTTTCATATTTTTTTCAAATAAGATGGACGGTCAAACGTTAGACACGGAAACCCAGGAATTGAGTATTTTTTGGGACGGAGGGAGTACTACTACCTCTTCTTCATGTGCCTATCTACTGCTCATGTGATTAGGGTTTATATAATAGTGTATATATGTACTGCTTATAATTCCATTAATCATAGCCACTTAATAAATACCCGTATTTATTAAGTACTTTATTAAGTACATATATAATAGTGTATATATGTACTGCTGGAATACGACCGTGATTCCCCGTCACAGCTGGACTAGCCACTTAGTCGCACGTTGCGCGACATTAAATACCCGTATGAAAACCTTGTATACATGAGTCAAAATATATGGTATGAAATTCTACTTTAAATTTGAAAATTGACAATACCATAGAACTTAATAAATATAAGCTTTTACTACAGTTACGGACCTGAACAGTCTCATCCACCATTGTCCCGCCTTCATCTGTTTTTTACTACTCCCTCCGTCCCTATTTTTAGCTATGTCCAGATTCATAGCCAAAAGTTATTATATTTTGGAATGGAAGTAGCAGTAGTCCTTCTAATTTGAAGAATCTTTTCAATGTATTTTACTCATTTTTATGAATTTTGGGGGCCGGAGACGAATGTTGATATGAGAGAATGGAACTGTACTTTTTGATAAATTATTAGTTAAGTTGCAAATATATTTAGTTCATATATAAAACTATACCAATGGCTAGCTTCATATTTTAAAACACCTTAAATAAAATGTAATTAAATGTTTCATATATATATAAATAACATATTTTATAAGAAAAATAATGGCGTAAGCACGTAATCCTGATTTATATTTCAAATATATATATGAAATAAAAATCTGACTCTTTTCAATAATTTGTGTTTTGTACTGATCTGAAAGAAACTTTATACTGGGCATCCTTGTGCACGTCACCACCTTGCACTCATATACTACGCCAAATGCCACAGTGGCATCCATTCACCATTCTTAAGATACCTCTCAAAATTGATCTCTAGCTAGGACCTAAGACACAAAATAGCTAGGACCTGGGAGTTGCTAGCTTCTTCAGATTAAACATCTCTAAAAAAGTTTTGATCATTTAATTGATTTTAGTACTCCCTCCGTCCCAATATATAGTAATCTATGTCATAGATTGCTATATATTGGGACGGAGGGAGTAACTTTTCATAGCGTAAAAAGAGATTTCAAAAATTAAAGCAAAACATTTTGAGAAAATTAGGAAAATACCATCGCAATGATACATGAGTTGCAAAATACCATCGTACGGGAGAATGAAGTGTGGGGCCCGGACCCACATGTCAATGACATATACGATGATATTTTTCAACTCTACGATTTTTGTGATAGTAGTTTACTTCATATATACTCCCTCTGTCCCACTTAATAAGCCACGATTAAACTTGACACAGTTTTCAAAACTAATCTTTTAACTTTAAATTTCTCATATAGTATAATGTTTATAGGAAGTACTATTAATGAATATATTCTGACAATTAGAGCATTCCTAATCCAATGACTAGGATGGTGTCTATAGCATTAAATAAGTTACCACCTAGGATAAAAAATGATGTGGCAAGTGAATAAATGAGGAAAGAGAAGGAAACCATGTCTTGCATGAGACATGGTTTCTACACAACATCCAAGACATCATGTGAGATAAATATCATTAAATTGAAGTATGGAATAATGGTGTTTGTATTGGAAGAGTAGTGTCTAGTACTAGTTTCTTGATGATGTGGAGTTTATGGAAACTATGTTTAGTGTTATGAGTTGGGACTGCCCTTATGAGTAATCAACACATAAGTGAGTGCTTTAATTATCAGTATAAATAACAACATGTTAAATTTATGACCTAACCATTAATTACAGTCATCGCTAGCTATACTACATGGTGTATTTACCCCTTAATTAATTAAATGTGCTTTCTGTAACAAATTAAAATTAATTAATGTAGGGTTTAGTTTATGGAAGTTAATTAATATATGGCCTGGAGGAGTAGTTCAGAAACAGTTATTAGCCGTACGTTTTATATATATCGGCTGGTGGAAACAATGAGATATATACACATCCTTTCTTTGTTAATGCTACATTACATATTTATTACATATATAGCCTATTAGTACAGTGCTATATCATCAGTCTGTAATTTAAATGCACTCATAACTAATTTGTCCAGAAAGATGAATTAATTAATTATTGTTATATATGTTTGTTGGTAGTATACCCATGGCAGATGATGGTAGGAATTCGGACGAACTGGACAAAATAATGCAACAGATACAAAACCTGCAAGTCGAGAGTAGCTCCAGCGCTGATGATCGCCGGAGAAGACACGAAAGGAGTGCAATCTTTCACGTGAATGAGAAGTACGGAGCGTATCTGGTAATAAATCAATGTTAATATATATATATATATATATATATATATATAATAATTCTCTTTTATCTCCTCCATGATATAGTATATTGCAAAAATATACTCCCTCCGTCCCAAAATAAATGCAGTTTTAGCAATGTTTATGTCCAACATTTGACCGTTCGTCTTATTTGAAAAAAGATTATGATTAGTATTTTTATTGTTATTAGATCATAAAACATGAATAGTACTTTATATGTGGCTAATTTTTTAAATATTTTTTAAATAAGACGGATGGTCAAAGCGTTGAGCACATATATCTATGGCTGTACTTATTTTGGGACGGAGGTAGTATTAATTAACCTGCGCTGCGATGATTATTTAATTATTAATATTTTTGTTGCATTTTGATCAGGACACATTCGGTGTGGTTTTATCCAGGGCTACGAGTTCGACTGCGAGAGAGGAGACGCGGTGGCTCATGGGCTGGTGACCGTGGAGTGCGACCCTGACACCGGAGAGATCAGCCACCGGGAGGCGACGTTCCTCGTCCTGAGGAGGGGCGAGTCCGGGAGGAGGGACGCGGTGAGGATGTTCGAAGCGACCTGCAGGCTCAGGGGATCCGTGGCGATCGCCAACGCCTTCCTCGTCGCCAATTGTGATGGCCTCAAGAGATGGGTCATCTGCTACGAGAAGCTGGCTGGCATTCTGAGTGACTACCCTGATGATCATATGCTGACAACCTTTGGGGCCTTCTCTTCAAATGGGACAGACAGCCTCTCGCCGTATTGGAGCAATCAGATCAAGTTAGTATTTACTATTATACTACTCTCTCTCTCTCTCTCTCTCTCTCTCTCTCTCTCTCTCTCTCTCTCTCTCTCTCTCTCTCTCTCTCATCTGGTCATATATATATATATACATATATATATATATATATACATATATATATATATATATATACATATATATATATATATATAGTGCGTGGCTAAGATTATTCACCGTGAATGATTAATTTTCAAAACACTTAATTTGGTTGAAAATTAAATACTAGCATGGTAAGTATGTGTAGATTAATTAATTCTGCCTTGGAATTAATAATTATATAATGTATTTTCATAACCTCGTAAATTTGTTAATTAGATCTTATAAACTTTATTATTTATAACTGCAATATAAGATTGTGGTTAATTTTCTACATTAACCTTGATCGAAGACCATTATAATATATGCCTAGGCTTCATATCTGTTTTGATCAGAGTATTTTAGATACTTGCATACGGTTAGTGCATATATAGATATATACATATGCACATGATATATTGATTGATATATATTGATCGCTTAATTACATATTGATATATATGTATCTTTGCAGGATGATCATTACAACATTGTCAGACATGGGGATAAGAAATGTAAGTCACGGGGGCATGTCAAACCCTGAAAGTTATGCTCTTACCGAAAGTCTAGACATCAAGTTGATTAACATGGGCAAAAATGAAAATTCGAGGACGTATCAGCACGACCTTGCAGATTTTGGTACATTTCTGTGCCAGACTCCATACATCGGTGCCTCCAAATGCACTAGTTGGACGGGATTTCATTTCTTAATAAATTCAAATGCAATGTCACAACGGTACGCAATGCTCTTTGTTTTCCATCTAAAATTTATTACTGAGTTCTCTTGTTTGGCAATTTAAAAATTAGCTAGTTAATAATTATTTCCTTCCATGCAAGATCGATCTAGCTAGTCTAAATGTTTCCTCCCTTACCATCTAATATCCTCCACCATTATGCAAATAAATTCCATGCATCTAATTATTGGCAATAAGAGAATTACCATAAGAATTTTTCTCTAACATATATGATATATGCATTCTTCTATGTTAGACAGTTAGAGTGATTAATTTCGCTTTCGTTCAAGATCTTTTTACCATAAAAAAAAATTTGAATACAGGTACTTATGGGCTGACATAGTTAAGGGGCATCCACTTTTTCTTGATCCGCCATCAAAACTTAGATGTTACGTGAATCTGTTTGAGTGGTCAGAATTGATCCAAATATCAGAGAAAACGGCTTTTTGTGATGCATGTTACAAATTAATGCCTGATCTCACACAAAAAACACTTTGGGGTTGGATAAGTTGTTGCCCAGCTTCTGTCAAGATTTATTTGAATCAAGCTTATAAAGGAATTAGCATCTATGAAGATATCATCACTTTTGTAAAGAACATGATACTTCATGGAAGACAGGAACTCATGAATGCAAATGGGGTAATTAACTAACACGCTTAATTTCTCTCTCTTTCTCACACATTATGTATTCATAACTAACTATAATATGTATGCAATTTTTATTCTAACATTTTTTTCAGGGGCGATGGTCAGATGCACATTTCTGCCACAAAATAGAGCAACTTTTTCCAGGGTTCATGAGTGTGGCCTACGCACTTTCAAAGGCTACAAGGAGTGACTTGAATAAGTTGCTGGGAAGGGCTTGACAAATTAAGTTGCTGGATCCATACACCACTTCTCTCGATTGTTAATTGCTGGTATGTAAGACGAAACTAACTTCGTTTCAACTGCAATTTAAGTTTGTACACAAATAATGTTGTGCTGTCTACTTTCTTTCGTCTCAAAATAAGTAAAGCCTTGAACTAGAGGGTTACACTTATTTTGTGTAGATCTCACTAATTTTGATGTGCATGTTATATGCAGTTGACTAGTGAGCAATGGCCACTGCATTGAGATGGAGAGGGAGCTTAGCTTTAGTGCAGCTCGTCGTATCCTATATTTGTATTAGATGAACCAAACTATTATATATTGCTAGTTATGTGTTAACTGGAGACGAACGGTTTGTAATATTGTTGGATATATATTAGCACATTAATTTGTGCTTATTTGATTTCCTAGAACTATTAATGGGTAGAAATATTAATTGCGCATCGTATATATGTACTACGTATCCGTAGAACATATATCCTATATCCAAGTAATTGATGACCATCAACCAAAGCATAAGCTAGGATATACCCCCCATATATATATATATATATATATATATAAATACATCCTATAACTTTAAAACCGGATATTTTATATCCTCCAACTACCAATACCGGACATATTACATCCTTAGACGGTTTGATCCTGTTTCTGGTACAGTAGAACGAGACGTGTAAAAAAAACAGTGGCCACTATATGTCAAGGTCATCTTCCCATCTCTCTTCTTCCTATCTCTTCGCTCCATCTTCGGCAAGTCGATGGGCATAGGCGGATAAAGGCGTATCGCCTGTGTCTCCACGAGCGCCGGGGCAAGGATGTCAACGATGACGCATTGATCCATGTAGGCTTGCGAGGATGTCATTGCAGCAGTCAGCGATGATGAACTCTCGGGGAGGCGGAGCACCTTGGCCGTTGCTGCCTCGCCGAACTCGATCTTCGCTTCCTTGTCTTCCAGCGTGCAAGCAGATGGCAATTATCCATTGGGGAGGCTACACAGGACAAGCCGAATTTTGGACATCACTACAGGATGGAAAGGATTTGGAGGCATTTAAGAATGCCTCAACTACTTAAAAAAATACCTTCAATCCTTGAAGAAGGCACTTCAAAAAGTGTTGGATATACTCATGTAGGGAAAGGGATTTTAAGGCACTTTTCTAAAATGCCTTCATAAGTATAGATGAAGGCACCTTTTAGATTGCCTTTAAACACATTTTGAGGCATTTTAACATATGCCTCAATTTTTCTTCCTAGGCATTTTAGATAATGCCTTTGCTTTTCTTTTTAGACACTTTCTTTAAAATGCCTCAAATAATATTATCAGACGGTTTGAAGCATGCAAATAATACGTTGGACATGTATATACATGCATGTACAGGATCATGTCCACCATATATGAATGTCAACAGGAAATAACAAATCGCACCAAATACAACCCTAAAAAATATAAAAAATATAAAAAATATAGAACAATAATTCCTAATTCCAATCCAATCACACATTAAGTGGTACACTAATCATCTCATTGGTAATTAAGTTTGTAGGATGTGTCATCATAATCAATGGTCTGCTCATGATCTACTGGACATTATACTTCATTGATCCACCCAGCGTTGTTTCTGTGAGGCTCTCATGTATTTGCAAGGAGGAAAAACAATCTGAGAATGGATTACACCAAAACTTGTTCATGCATGTAGACCTGAAAAAAAAACCCTACAAGTTTCTATACAGATTATTAATATATACTAGAAGCAAGGCAGAAAAATATACGCCCCAATAACAAGATAACACAAACTTGTAGCATCATACCTCTAGGCTCTAGCTATTCATGGCGTGGTGTATGAAACTGCCTTTTTCTGTTTTGTAGATTGGGTCCAGATGAAGTTGGTTTTTTTGGTTTCTGTTGGACAACATGTGAAGGTGGCATATTCTCCTTATTCAAAATTAAAATTCATATCCATTACATGTTGATATGCTCACAAACTAGAGTTAAATATTTTAGATCCTCAGCTATAATTCAACACTCTTACCCACAGTGGAACAAGTGTCTAGGCAACAAAAACTGAATGCAAATAGCCAAACACTCCCATCTAACTATAGATTTTAGAAACACACTGATGCTATACTAGCATTGCATGAAAAAAGTTATAATATGCAAAGTACTTCCTACTAGAACATAACTATTCCCAACAGTAGAGTTGTTCGAAGACAACAGAGACTAACTGAATAAACATAGGTAAACATACTTGATAAATGCACAAGATAGCATCCTGTATATTGGTCCATTGGCTGTCTGCACCAGCAAATGAATAATGAGTCTTTGTCCATACATATATCACATGGATGCAAAAGGTATTCTCTCTTCTGCATATCTTTAGATTATACCAGAATAGTGATTCCCAGATCAAAATGTTACACTATTAGAAACATATGCAGATATTGTAAATCAAAATGAATGGTTATTGTGTTTCAGCCGTGCAAATGAAGTACACGTACCAGAGATCAAAGGTTAATCATTTGAGGAAAAAAGTGCATACTTTTCAGTCGTGTATTTCATCAAGCAAGTGAAAAAAATAAATTCTCTTGAGAAGCTAAAATCACTGATGAAAATAATTCTCTAGTGTCGCTTCATTTCTCAAAGAATGTTTAGTACGTTGCATTAGTTGAAAGAAGGCAAACAATATAAGGATATTGATATTGTGTTAATAAAGGTGTAGACAGTATAGCTTAACATCTGAATAATCAATGTGCATTACCTAGAAATAGCTTAACTCAAATTCTGAAGTTTGAACCATATTGCATTACCTGGAATTCAGAGTTAAAATCACTGGTGGAAAAAACTGCACAAGGTGCTCCTAACAGTTCACTAGTTCTCATCTACCATAACTAGAAAATTAGTAACTGCTTTTCTAAGATGGAATATTTTTTTAGTAACTCTATTTATCAATGGAAATTCAGATTACAGTGAAGTGATGCTTAAAATTTACTTGAGAGCAGTTGACTCCAAACTATCAACAGAACCATACTGACCATACATGATTTGCTCGGATTAGTTAGGAGCTTGGTTTGCTCATATACAAACAATCTACACCCAAGCCAGTGGCAAATATATATATGAACAACTGCAGAAACTCGCTTAGACAATACTGCAAACACCTTCAGTGCGCTAAAACTGAAGCAGATTTAAACCTTACAGATGGAAAGGAACGAACCTGCATGTGAGGCCGTGGGCTGGAGGGTGGAGGCGGCGAGGCGGTGCAACGGGTGACGGTCGACCGTCGACGGCGGCACCGCGATGGGTAGCAGGCGGGCGGGGCGCAGGGTGCTCGGCGGCGGCGAGTCTCTCCCACGAGCTAGGTCACCGGGCGGCGCTACGGCGCGATGCGCCGATGCGGATATGGGCGATGCCGCAACGGGCGACGGTCGACCGTCGACGGCGGCACGGCGCGACGGGCGACGGGCGGGCGGGGCGCTGGGCGGTCGTCGGCGGCGAGTCACCCACACGAGGTTGCCGGGCGGCGCTACAGCGCGATGCGGCGCCGCAACCGGCGACGGCGGCACGGCGGGATGGGAAACGGGCGGGCGGGGCGCAGGGTTGTGTTTATTTCACGTCAAAATTAGAAGTTTGGTTGAAATTGGAACGATGTGACGAAAAAGTTGAAAGTTTATGTGTTTAGAAAAGTTTTGATGTGATAGAAAATTTGGAAGTTTAAAGAAAAAGTTTGGAACTAAACAAGAGCTTACTATTAGAAGCAGTGCATAAATACGTCACATCAAATACTACAACAAATCCCCACTAAAATTAAACCAATCCTCTGTCTTGTTGTACTTTTGTAATAGAACCATAGATCCACCTCTTCTAATAACCTAATCATCGTTATATAAATCATAAAGTGCATGCACACAAGATGCACTGTCCCAGGCTCCCAGCTGGCATGAAAAGCGTCGTCACTTTTTGGAGTACTTTGCAATTTCACATTAAAAAACGGTTTCTTGAAAATGAACGGTTTCTTGAAAATGAAAGTGAACTGCCACTTTTCCCATGCATGCACCATGTTCAGTATAAGGGCATTTCCAACCCAATAACTAGGATGGTGTCCATAGCATTAAATAAGTTGCCACCTAGGATAAAAAATGATATGGTAAGTGAATAAATGAGAAAAGAGAAGGAAACCATATCTTGCATAAGATATGGTTTCTACACAACATCCAAGGCATCATGTGAGATAAATAGCATTAAATTGAAGTATGGAATAGTGGTGTTTCCATTGGAAGAGTAGTGTCTAGTACTAGTTTCTTGATGATGTGGAGTTTATGGAAACTATGTCTAGTGTTTTGGGGGTGGGACTGCCCTAAGTAGAACAGATGCACCTCACCGAGAAAGCAAGTAGTAGCTGTTGGCCCAAAACGGGGAGATATTAGCCCAACCAGGAGAAAGCCTTGCTACACCGCAAAAGTTAGCTCAAGAGGTGAGGGACTCCCCCACTTTTAAGTTGGTTCAACTCTAACTAAATTAGTAATGTGGGACTATTTCTAACAGGAGTTAACTTGCAGCCTTGCACTGAAAACAAACAAAACCTACCAAAACTGAGCAGAGAAGCTCAAGATTGACCATAGGGCAATACTGCTCCTCCTGTTAGTGATATGCCCTAGAGGCAATCATAGAGATGATTGTATCACATACTATGTTTACATATTTATCCGACATTGTTCCTTAAAATAGATAACTCCCTATTGGTTAATGAATATGTGATTCTTTCATGAGACTCTTTATGTTGTTTGTTACTATTTCTAAAGGATCCTTGATCAAATATCATATGTGGAACAAATATGTTTATATGATCAGCACATGTATTAATTGATGATCATGTCTCATGGATCATGGTATAGAGATACTAAATTAATAATGTGGACACATGTTGGTGAACATGTTGTTGGATAGACCCAACATGAGACACTGCAAGAGCCATATGTGTTGTGTCATCAGTGATCTCATTGAGTGTTGGTGTTGAATCCTTATACCTGAGATTATCATGGTTCTCAACATGTGTAGTAGCTTACTTAGGGATTGCTAAACGCTACTCCGTAATTGGGTAGTTATAAAAGTAGTTTTCGGGTATGCTATGAAACATGTAGTGAGATATGAATAATCAAGATGGGATTTGCCCCTCCTATGGAGAGATATATCTAGGCCCCTCGATGTTGTAGATTAGGAAGTGCATGGCCATGCCAAAAGTGATTGAGGAGTCAATCACAAGTTATATAATCTATCAACAGGTTCGAGTGAATGATTGAGCTATTAGAGGATGGTACATATCTAGCCTTGAGCTTAATCGATATCGTGAGGCAAAGGGGTTCGTATACACTAGAGGTTCAGCCGATATGATCTTTATGTATGCCCGGTGGGTCAATACGTTCTA